CCGCCATGTTGTCCTCGAATGGTTTCCTCCCTGACCTCACAGGGCTGACAGGGAGGTGCTGGGTCACCCTAGGAACACAGGCCCAACAGAGGAAGACCTTTTCCATGAAAGGCCAGTGGAACTGCATTCCAGGCCTGGCTGCTCACAACCAGGAAGCCGACTGGGAGGGGACCAAGGGCCTGGAAAACCCTAGGGAGCTCTGGTTAACCAGTTTATGTTAATGAGGTGACTTTTGAAAAGCCCCTAAGGATGGGGGCTGGTTGCCAGAACCAACCGTGTGATTAGAGGGTTAGAGCTTTCAGCCCAACCCCTTGACCTCTGGGGGGGAGTGATGGGCTGCAGGTTGACTCAACAGCCAATGGCCAATAATTTAATCAATCACATCTAGGTAATGAAGCCTCTGTAAAATCCCAAAAGGACTGGGTTTGGAGAGCTTCTGGGTTGGGGAACACATGGAGATTTGGGGAGAGTGCGGTGTGCTCAGAGGGCATGGATGCTCCGTACCCCTTCCCACATACCTTGCTCTTTGCTCTCTTCCATCTGGCTGTTCCTGAGTTATATCCTTTTATAACAAATCAGTAATCTGGTAGGTAAAATGTTTCTCTGAGTTCTGTGAGCCACTCTAATAAACTAATTGAACCCAAGGAGAGGGCTGTTGGAACCTCTGATCTATAGCTGGTTGGTCAGAAGCACAGGTGACAACCTGGACTTCGACTTGCATCTGAAGTGGGGAGCGGGAGAGTGTGAGTGTATGAGACAGTGTGTGTGGCAGTCTTATGGGATCTCATGCTATCTCCAGGTAGATGGATTAAAAATTGAGTTAAATTGTAAGACACCTAGCTGGTGTCAGAGAATTGTGTGGTGTGGGGGACCCCCCCCCACAGACACATTTAGTGATAAGAAGTGAAGAGTAGTGTGAGAGTATAGGATACACAGGAGTGTCTGTTTTACAAAGGAACTGAAAGCAAAGTTGTACACCCATCTTCATAGCAGCATTATTCAAAACAGCCAATGGGTGGAAACAACACAAATGTCCATCAGTGGGTGAATGGATAATTCAAATATGGTATACACATACAACTGAATAACATTCAGCCCTTAAAAAGGTTGACATATGCTACGTCATGGTGGAACCTGGTAGACACAAGCCAGTCACAAAAGGACAAATACTGCATGACTCCATTTCTATGAGTTTCCCAGAGGAGTCAGGTTCTTAGAGACAGAGTGGAATGGGGTTCCCAGGGACTGGGGAGGTAGATAGGGATCTGCGTTTGATGGGGGTGGAGTTTCCGTATGGGAAGATGAGAAAGTTCTGGATGATGGGGATGGCTGCAAAAGAGTGTGAACGCGCTTAATGCCCCTGAAATGTGCACCTAAAAATGGTTAAGATGGTAAAGTTTAGGTTATGAGAACCTCACCACTATAAAGCAAGCAGAAACTTCTCTGAGACTCGAGGAGGAAGTCAACTGCAGGAGCAGAAGCCAGCTCAGGACAGGTGGGCGGGGGACTGACAGCCCGAGGCCTCGCCCCCGCGCAAGGTCCGCCCACCCTCACCCCGGCCGTGAGCGACACCGCTCGCCCGCCTCCAAGGACTGCTGTGGTACTAGCCCGCGCATGCTCGCGCACACTCCGCCCCCGCGCACGCTTCTCTCGCCCGCCGTCAGGGGCTGTTTTGAGGCCCGCCTGCACCGCCCCCCCCCCACCTCCGCCCCCGAGCACGCTCCGCTCGCCCGCCTCCAAGGTCTTGTGGCGCGCGCGCGCCCGCCCGCTCGCGCCGCCGGCCGGGTCGCCCCTTCCCGCCGCCTCACTCCTCCCCAAGATGGCGGCCGCAGCGCTGCTCCGGGGTGCAGCTCCAGGGCGCGGCGGCCGGGCCTGGAGCTGGCGGCTGCGCGCTGCCCCGAGGCATCGCCTGGGCCACAGCTCCTGCTGTCACCGTGGTGAGCCCGCAGGCAGCGCGGCGTGGGCCTGCTTCCTACTGGACGAGCGCGCCCTGGTGCGCGTGCGTGGGCCGGACTCTGCGCCCTTTCTCCTGGGTCTGCTGACCAATGAGCTGCCACTTCCAGGTCCTGCGGCCGGCGAGGCTTCGACTTCGGCGCGTTCGGGCTACGCCCACTTTCTCAACGTCCAGGGACGCACCCTCTATGACGTCATTCTCTACGGGTGAGAGCGGGTTGGGGCACAGGCTCGGGGGACCGGGGTAGGGGAGGGGGTATCACCCAGGGGAAGGGCACCCAGGAGCGGGCATGAGAAGGCTTGGAGGATGGGCTCCCATGGAGAGCTCTCAGGGGAGGGGTAGGCACCGGGGAGGGGCGGACAGGGGGCGGAACTAAGGACACCCAGAGGCAGGGCACCTAGGGGAGGGCTACCAATGGCCCAGGACGGACATCCAGGAGAGGACATGCAGGACAGGGCATCCAGGGGAAGGGACACCCGGGAACCTGTGCATAGAGTGGGCCGACGTGGGCCTCCAAGGGAGGGCACCTGAGGATGGGAGGCGCGCCCAGGGTAGGGAACTTGGGGACCCGCACACAGGGTGGGCTGGGGATGGGCACCTGGGGGAGGGCACCGGGGCAGGGCAGCCATAGGTGAGCTGGAGCCTGCACCCAGGGATGGGCCCGCGACACTCACCAATGGGAGGGCCTGGGCACCCCTGCGCCTGGCCTCTGATCCTGCTCAGACCCACTGCACGGAGAAGGGGTCGTGGCACCTGGAGCCACACTGCAGGGAGCAACCTCTGCGCGACTGGCTTGTGCCACTGCTTCCTGAGTTCTCTAGTGTACACACATTTCTGTCCAAAATCTCTCCGTATTCACTGATTATTAGCGTTTGGTGGTTTACATCAGTCTGTGCTGATTTTATCATGACTTTCTGTGATGGTCACCAGGACAAGCCAAGTCAGTGGCCTTTAGAGCTATAGAGCTTTCGGTTTTCACTTGCTTAGCTTTCTCAGACTTTCTCAGAGGTTCTTCTAGAAGCTCTCATGCAGTTGCAGGTCGTTGCTCTGCCTGAAACCGCCCTGGAAACTCCAATGTCCCTCTTCTGTTGTGGGTTCGTGTCTGCATCTTCCTCAGTGCCTGCCTGCCTATGTTCTTTAGTGGCTTGTTGAGAGGTAGGATGCTTCAGGTGGACCTTTGACTCCTTCAAGTGGTTTTACCTGATAGCTTGGCTGGGCGTAAAACTCTAGGCTGAAAATCGTCCCTGAAAACATTGAAGCCACAACTGGCATTGCTGTCAAGAAGCCTGGTGCCTTTTTATTTTTGAGCCTTTGTGTGCGACTGCTTTTTCTTTGGGCACTCTTCGGGGCTCTTTTTCATCCTGATGTCTTGAAGTGTTATGACGATGTGTTGTATTTTGGGTCTCCTTTCACGTCATGTTGCTGGGCACTTGGTGGGCTGTATGACTCTGGAACAGGGCTCAGTAAAGTATGACCCTTGGGCAGATCCAGCTCTCTCTCTGTTTTCATAAGTAAAGTTTGATTGGAATGCTCTTCCCTGTTGCGTCTCCCTCCCTCCCACCCTCCCTATCCCACCCCTTTAGGTGGTCACAAAGCACCGAGCTGATCTCCCTGTGCTATACGGCTGCTTCCCACTAGCTATCGGTTTTACATTTGGTAGTGCATGTATGTCCATGCCACTCTCTCACTTTGTCCCAGCTTACCCTTCCCCCTCCGCGTGTCCTCAAGTCCATTCTCTAGCAGGTCTGCGTCCCGTCCTGCCCCTAGGTTCTTCATGACCTTTTTTTTTTTTTTTTTTTAGATTCCATATATATGTGTTAGCATACATTATTTGTTTTTCTCTTTCTGACTTACTTCACTCTGTATGACAGACTCTAGGTCCATCCACCTCACTACAGATAACTCAATTTCGTTTCTTTTTATGGCTGAGTAATATTCCATTGTATATATGTGCCACATCTTCTTTATCCGTTCATCTGTCAGTGAACATTTAGGTTGCTTCCATGTCCTGGCTATTGTAAGTAGTGCTGCAATGAACATTGTGATATATGTCTCTTTTTGAATTATGGTTTTCTCAGGGTATATGCCCAGTAGTGGGATTGCTGGGTCAAACGGTAGTTCTATTTTTAGTTTTTTTACAGAACCTCCAACCGTTCTCTATAGCAGTTGTATCAATTTACATTCCTACCAACAAGCTTTTTGTTTTTAGAGTAGACTTTGTAGGGAGTTCCCTGGTGGCCTAATGGTTAGGATTCCAAACTTTCACTGACGTGGCCTGGGTTCAATCTCTAGTCAGGGAACTGAGATCCTGCAAGCCATGTGGCAGGGCCAAAAAAATAAAGAAAAAGTAGACTTTTTAGACCAATTTTAGATTCATAGCAAAACTTAGGGGAATGTACAGAGACTTCTTATATACTCTCTGCCACCACGCATGCATAGTCTCCCCCGTTATCAACCTCTTCCTCCAAAGTAGTATGTTATTTACAATCGACGAGCCTGCATTAACACCAGAATTACTCAGAGTCCTTAATTCACATTAGGTTTCACTGCTGGTGCTGGAAAAATTGGACAAATGTATAATAATGTGTATGTACTATTATAATATATATGGTAGTTTCACTACCCCTAAATACCCTCTGTGCTCTACCTATTCAACCGTCCCTTCCTTCTAACTCCTCACAACCACTGAAAGGATCTTTTTGGATCTGGAACTGTCTCCATAGTTTCACTTTTTCCAGAATGTCACGTAGTTGGAATCATAGAGTATGCAGCCTTTTCAGATTGACTTCTTTCACTTAATAATATACATTTGTGTCCTCCATGTCTTTTCAGGGCTTGATAGCTCATTTTAGTGTTGAATAATAGTCCATTGTTTGGATGTACCAGTTTATGTACCCATCTACTGAAGGACTTCAGCAGTTGCTTCCATATTGTTGCAATTATGAATAAAGGTGCTATAAACATCTGTGTACAGGTTTCTGTGTGGCGGTTAGTTTTCATCTCCTTTTAGGTAAATACGAGGGAGTGTGATTGCTGGATTGTAAGGTAAGAATTTGTGTAGTTTTGTAGGAAACCACCAAAATATCTTCCAAAGTGGCTGTACGATTTTGCATTCCCACCAGCAATGAATGAAGACTTTCCGTTGCTCCATAACCTCACCAGCATTTGGTGGTGTCAGTGTTCTGGATTTTGATCATTCTGATAGGTGTGTAATGGTAGCTTGTTGTTTTTTTAATTTGCTTTTCCCCGATGACATATGACGTGGAGCATCGTTTCATTCGCTGTGTGCCACCTATCTTTGGGGAGGTGTTTGTTGAGGTCTTTGGCCCATTTTTAATCAGGTTGTTTGTTTCCTTATTTGAGTTGTAAGTGGTTTTGTATATTTTGAGTGACAGTCCTTTGTCAGATGTGACTTTTCAAACCTTTTCTCCCAGTCTGTGGCTTGACTCCTCACCCTCTCAGCTGAGGCTTTGTGTTTTGTTTTTTTTTTTGCGGTACACGGGCGCCTCACTGCTGTGGCCTCTCCCGTTTCGGAGCACAGGCTCCGGACACGCAGGCTCAGCGGCCACGGCTCACGGGTGCAGCCGCTCCGCGGCATGTGGGATCTTACCGGACCGGGGCACGAACCCGTGTCCCCTGCATCGGCAGGGGGGGGGGG